TCATATCCTTTGCCCAATTTTTATTTGGATTATTTGTCTTTTTGTTGTAGAGGTGTTGGATTGTCCTGCAGATTTTAGAGATTAGACCTTTGTTGAATTTGTCATAGCCAAAATTTTTTTCCCAGTCTGTAGGTTCTCTTTTCACTCTTTTGGTGAAGTCTTTTGATGAGCATAAGTGTTGAAGTTTTAAAAGATCCCAGTTATCTAGCTTATCTTCTGGTGTTTGTGTATTGTTAGTTATGAATGTATCCTGTTAATGCTGTGTATTAGGGCCTCAGGTGTTGACCTTATTTTTTCTTCTATGATCTTTACAGTTTTTGGTTTTATATTTAGATCTTTGATCCATTTTAAATTAGTTTTTGTGTATGGTGTAGTTAAGAGTCCTATTTCATTTTTTTTGCAGATGGACATCCAGTTTTGCCAGTACCATTTGTTAAAAAGACTGTCTTTTCTCCATTTGATGGACTTTAGGCCCTTGTTGAAGATTAGATGACCATAGGTGGATGGATTTACATCTGGGTTCTCAATTCTGTTTAATTGGTCAGTGTGTCTGTATTTGTCCAGTACCAGGCTGTTTTGACTACTGTAGCTGTATAGTAGGTTCTGAGGTCAGGTAGTGCAAGTCCTTCAACTTTATTCATCTTCTTCAATAGTGCTTTACTTATCCGGGGCCTCTTCAATTTCCAGATAAAGTTAAGGATTAGTTTTTCCATCTCTTTAAAGACTGCTGTTTGTATTTGTATTGGGATTGCATTGTATTTGTAGATTGCTTTGGGTAGAATTAACATTTTCACGATGTTAAATCTACCTATCCATGAGCATGGTATGTTTTTCCTTTTATGTAGATCTCTTTTGGTTTCTTACGGTAGTGTTTAGTAGTTTACTTTGTATAGGCCTTTTACATCCCTGGTTAGATTTATTCCTAAGTATTTTATTTTTTTATGGACTATTATAAATAGTATTGCTTTTATGGTTTCCTTTTCAAAGTTTTCTTTATTGGTGTATAGGAATCCAACTGATTTTTGTATGTTTATCTTGTATCTTGCTACCCTGCTGAATCTTTCTATTAGTTACAGTAGTTTTCTTGTGGAGTCTTTTGGGTTTTCTATATACAGTATCATATCATCTGCTAGTAGGGACAGTTTTACTTCTTCCTGACCAATTTGGATACCCTTTATTTCTTTTTCTTGCCTTATTGCTCTAGCTAAGACTTCCAGCACAATGTTAAATAGGAATGGTTATAAAGGGCATTCTTGTCTTGTTCCTGTCCTCGAAGGGAATGTTTTCAGCCTCTCTTCATTAAGAATTATGTTGGCTGTTGGTTTTGTACAGATACCCTTTACAGTGTTGAGGAATTTCCCTTCTATACCTATTTTATTAAGAGTTTTTATCAGAAAGGGGCATTGGACTTTATTGAATGCCTTTTCTGAGTTATTTGAGATGATCATGTGATTCTTTTCCTTTATTTTATTTATGTGGTGGATTACGTTGATTGATTTTCTAATGTTGAACCATCCTTGCATACCTGATATGAATCCTACCTGGTCGTGGTGTATTATTTTTTTTTTTTTGATATGATGTTGAATTCTATTGGCTAGAATTTTGTTGGAATTTTTGCATTATATTCATGAGAGGTATTGGTCTGTAATTTTCTTTTTTTGTGGTGTCTTTGCCTGGTTTTGGTATCAGGGTTATGCTGGCTTCATAGAATGAATTCAGAAGTATCCCTTCCATTTCTATGTTCTGATATAGTTTGAGTAGTACTGGTACAGGCTCTTCTCTGAAGGTTTGGTAGAATTCTCCAGTGAAGCCATCTGGGCCAGGGCTTTTTTTTTTTTGTTGGGAGTTTTTTTTATTACCTTTTCAATCTCTTGTTATGGGTCTGTTCAGATTTTCAACTTCAGTTTGTGTGAGTTTGGGTAGATAGTGTGTTTCTAGAAATTGGTCCCTTTCCTCTAGGTTTTCAAATTTGTTGGCGTATAGTTTTTCATAGTACTCTGTTATGATCCTTTTTATTTCAGTTGGGTCTGTTGTAATGTCCTCATTTCATTTCTTATTTTGGATTATTTGCATCCTTTTCTGGTTTTCTTTTGTCAGTTTGGCCAATGGTTTGTCGATTTTGTTGATCCTTTCAAAGAACCAGCTTTTGGTTTTGTTGATTTTTTTCTACTGTTTTTCTATTCTCTATTTCATTTATTTCTGCTCTGATCTTTATTATTTCCTTTCTTCTGGTGGCTGCAGGCTTCTTTTGCTGTTCTCTTTCTATTTGTTCTAGTTGTGTAGCTAATGTTTTGATTTTGTCCTTTTCTGCTTTTTGATGTGTGCACCTACTGCTATAAATTGACCTATGAGCACTGCCTTTGCTGTGTCCCAAACGTTTTGGTATGATGTGTTTTCATTCTTGTTTGATTCTAGGAATTTTTTGATTCCATCTTTGATTTATTCTATTATCCAGTGGTTTTTAAGCAGGATGTTATTCAGTTTCTATGTATTTGATTTTTTTTCCTTGCTCTTCCTGTTATTAATTTCTACTTTTATGGCATGATCAGAGAAGATACTTTGTATTATCTCAGCGTTTTGGATTTTGTTCTATAGGTCCTTTTGAGGGAAAAACTGGGAGGATCATTACTGTATACACTTATTGCAGTGTGCAGAATCCTTTTAGGGACTTGGCCACCTCTTCAGTCTGGGTCTGGGTCTGAAAATTGTCTCATGTCCAGGAATGGAGCAAAGGATTGTAACTTACTATTGGGGTGACTTCCCTTATCCTCCCATTCCCCCAGTCTTGCCTTCTCTTGGTTATAGATGTTTAACAGCCTTACTGGCTGCCTGTTTATTTTGTTCATAGGGAAGCTATGTTCTATAACCATTCCCACAACTCCCTGATGGTTGTGAGTAAGCCAGTCCCAAATCCTCATCTTACCTTCCATTTTCTCAGATCACTCTTGGTACCATTTGCATTAGTTTACATCTGCCAAGAAGCTGACATAATAATGAGATTAGACATTCAAGTGATTTATAGTATTAGAGGAGGGAGCATGAGAAGATGGGGAGAGGCTTCAGACTGTGATGAAGTTCTGACAACTGTGGAAGTGAGCAAGAAGGAAAGATTATGTAGGAAGAGTCTAGACTGCAGTATGATTTCAATAAAGTTCCAAACAGGCTTATGGGGAGTCACTGAGCTGATATCACCTGTTGGAGCCTTAGTAGCCCTGCTGGGCTCAGTCACTGGCTGGGAGAAGTCAGTTGGAAGTGTGGCCTCAGCACCAACACTGGAGGGATCCAGAAGGGCAGCCGTGGGGCTGTCAATCATGCTGCCCACAGCAGGAGATTGGAATAGTGCATTTTCATGGCTGCCATATACACCTGCCCCATTCCTCTGCATCTGATGCCCCTGAAGCTTCTACCTTCCACCCCGCTCTGGTTCCACCCACCTCTCCCTTCACCATGTTTCCATCCCATTACCCTGTTTCCAAATTCTTCAGCTCTTTTTAGTCACTTTGATTCAAACTAATTTGTACCTTCTGCCTGGCTATTGATTTGAGTTTCTCCCAACTATTATTCTTAAAGTGCTCTTTTGTCCTCTTCCCCTGGCTTCATGGATTATAGTTCTCAAGCTAGTGAAAACCCTTCTTCAGACTCTGTACATTAGTTGAGCTCAGAGCTCAGGGCTCACATTTTTCTGGAAATGAAGGTCTCCCAGCCAAACTGAGCTAAAGATATCAGTAAAATAACCGACATTTTTCCTATCAGAAACATCCAAGTAACTTTATAGTCTCAGAGATAAGATTGTGTTGGAGACAGGAGCTGCCAGAAATAAGAGCAAATTATTATGAAGCTATTTAAAAAGGAATCCTCTAGAATGTTGGGCAATGTTATGGATGAGGACTCTGCCTAACCATAAAAGGCACTCAATAAATGTTTATGAGATGAGTGAATACCTTATAATGGGAAAACGAGATCACAAAGTCATGTTCCTGGACAACGTATTTTTTCCTGTCACATAGGAAGTTTGGCCTTTAATGAATCCATTTCTTGTCTGGTGGAAGGATCCTCTGTCTTCTCTTACACACTGCTAGAGTCCTGGGATATGAACATCAGTCAGTCCTACTCACATGTTCCTTTTGTTTCTAGAAGTCCGGTATTCTTACCCCCAAAGAAAGAATTTCACATGGTAGACTCTTATGAATACTAAACCAGGGAAGGGCTTAACAAGCCTCCAGCCCCCATGGTTCTCTGGGACCAAGAGGATATTACCCCCACTCTGCCTTTCAACATGTTGGGTCTTCTGTATCAAGAATCCTGAAAGGACAAGATACAAGGAAAAGATTAGTCCAAAGGCCTAATGGACCACAACTACCATGGCCTCCACCAGACTGAGTCCAGTACAGCTAGATGGTGCCCGGCTACCACCACTGACTGCTCTGACCGGGATTACAACAGAGGGTCCCAGACAGAGCTGGAGGAAAATGTAGAACAAGATTCTAACTCACAAAAAAAGACCAGACTTACTGGTCT